GTCCGCCCCGCCCCTCCTCTCCCGGGTGAGGCCGGGACGCGCCCACTGGGCGTAGCCTTAAAGGGCTCTCTCTCCCGGAGCGCACCCCGAGCGAGAAGTCGAACGAGCCTGAGAATGATCACCCTTCTTCCGAAACGCAGAGACTCTAAAGGGAACTCCTGACGCCCCCTTACTCAGCTACAACCGATATTCCCCCTGCTTCCTGCGCCCAGGTTTCTCCTCCAGCTGCCGAGGGCGGAGTCCCCTAGGCCCTTGGGACTTGGGCGTGGCTTACCACTGCAGCCTTGGTTTGAACTATATGGTGCTCAGCCTCCAGTGCGCCCTGTGCTTTGAACTGGGGGCTTCCTAGGGCTTGGGGCTGCTTGAGGCTGTGCTCGGACCCCAGGGAACCGGCAGCGTTGGGACTCCGCGGCGCTGTCGCGGCTCTTGCCCCATCCTCCATCCCTGTGCCAATCAGAGACTTCCCTCTAGGCTGCCTGCATACAGCGCGAACACAAGCATACCCCCCTTCGCACATTTATTGAGCTCCTGTTGCATGCAGAGCTTGTACATCACACATCTGTGACGGGCCCCTCGGGCAGGCGACGGCTCTGAGCCGCGAACACAGCCAAGAGCATCAGACCTCAGCCGATCCTCCAAGTCCCAGCCCCTGCTCTCTTCCAACTCGGTTCCATGACTAGAACCTGCATCCCGGAGACTCAGAGCTTTGGGCAGCCACGTGGGCGCGGGATTCCGACGTGGATCCCTCGTCCACAGCAACTCCACCCTAGAAGTCGCATTTAGGGAGCACATGACTCTCAAGTTGACCCTGGCCTGACTAATCCTCTAACCCTCGCTCGATCCAGGCTGAAACATCTAGATTTGCAGAGCGCCGGAAAGTGCCTGGATTCCAGCGCATCTGCATAGCACCCGGGTCTGCGTCCACGCGGGCCTCCACGGCACACTTGGCCTGGCTCAGCCACTGAATCTACAAAAGACGCTGGTCCTTTGGATCGCGATGCAGTCAACCGCAGCCCCCCTAGCAGGTTTCTGTGCTGAATTCAGTGTAGACGCTCACGCCTCTTCTGAGAGCAGTTGAAATAGAGGGTATTTGCGGCAGGGCGGGGTATTGGACGCCTCTCCCGCTGAGGGCCCCACAGGACCCCTGGCAGCGGTGCAAAGCCGGGCCGGAAGACAGCCGTGCCTCCCTCCGGGTCCAGGCCAGGCGTGGCTGGCTGCGGATCAAAGAGCCAGGGCATGCTTCCCTGTGTTCAGATCCTATCTGTGCCCGCCCAGCGGGGTACCTCGGACACCACAACCCCCTCCCCCGCCACCTCCGGGCTAGGGTGCCCACTTTTCCTCCTTTCCCCAGGCCGGGGCTGGGGGGTGGCATGGGCACGAGTGCTCAGTTTGGTGATGGAGATGAGGGGGAGAGGTCTCCCCAGCCTCCTCCCAGGGTGGTCTTGCCGCTCAGTCTCGCCTCATCTGCTCCGGATTGGCGGGGAAGGGGGGGCTCGGCCCTGCCCGGAGGGGAGAGGCACAGGGACAGGGTCTCAGAGCCTCCCCCACCTCAGCTCCTAAGGTTATAGGTAGGGTCTGGCTTGGGGTGAGCCTCCTCTGGGACAGCTGAAAGGGAATCCGGATCTGCCCAACCCAATGGCTTTAGGGGTCCTGTGTTTGTAGGGAACCCTGGTTCTGCAGGAACCTTCTCCAGAATAGCTGTCCCCAGACCCATGAGTTCCCCCGACACAGACCAGTGGAGGCTGACGTGTTCCCCAGTCCTTGGAGAAAGGAGAGAATTCAGAACAACAGTGAGGTTCTTTTTGTTTTGTTTTGTTTTCTCAATAAGGTTAAAACTTTCCAGCTTGGTATTAGCCTTTAATCAAGGATTATGCCCTTATTTATTGGTGTGAAAACATCCTTTCTTTACTAAAATGATGGTGGGACAAGTTTATTTTTTCATGTCCTTATTTGGCAAAAGAAAATAAGGAACATTTTTTTCCCCATCTGTTAACTCCCCCACCCTCAAGTTTCTTTGGACATTTTATAGTCTGGGAACAACTGTCCTATGGGGTCATAGCTCCAACTCCCCACCCTGCTGGCTGGAACCAGAGGAGAGGGTGGGTGAGTAGGGAGAGTAGGGCTGTGAGGAGGAGTGAGGGAGAGAAAGGCTGAGTCACAGGCATCCACAGCCACACTGAAATCAGTCTGAAGGCTTGCTAAGGGATCATCTACTGTGTACCTAGCCCTGGCTTGGGCTATGGAGAGGGAAGGACTAGAGGTGTCTGCCTTCCAGGAGCCTTTGGTTGCTTTGAGAAGCTAAAGAGTTATTAGAGCCAATTTAGGTGCTAGAGTAGTCTATACAGATAGTGCACAGAAAGAGCTCAGATATGGTGAGATCAGCGTGGACTGGAGTAGTCAGGGTGGCTTCCCGAAGGAGGTAGATTTCATGTGGGCCTGGATGGCTTAGGAGGGTTTGGAAAGCTGGGAAGGAACAAGAGCTCTGACTTGTTCCCCAGAAGTTGGTGCAGCCCCGCAGGAGCCCCTTGTCCAGGCAGCACTGATTCCTTCGCCATCATCTGCACAATGACCAACCTCATATACTGAGTGATTGCTATGTGCCAGGCATCCTGTCAAGAGCTTCACACACATTATCTCATTTAGTCATTACACCAACCCTATGACATAGGGACTCGTATCCCCATTTGACTAATGAGGAAACTGAAGCTCAGAGAGGTTAAGTCACCTAAGTTCTCACAGCTTGAAAATAAAGGTGTCAGAATTCGAAACCCAGGCAGTCTGACTCCTGAGCCCACACCCTAACTGTCACTCCAGTGTTCCATTATGATCCCTAAAATTCCAGAGGGAGTCCTTATTTGCTTTGTGGTCTTGGCAGATAAATGCTGACAAATAAGCTGTCACTAATCTGGAGCCCTGACTTTCTGGGTGGCTCATGTTGCATGAGGGGGGCCATCTACAGGATTAGGGAATCATCTTGGTGGTCTGTATAGGGTGGCCCAAGACCTTTGCTGGCAGAGAGGGCCTAGAATCTCTCCCCTGAGCCAGACAGATCTCAGTGTGTACCGTCTCTCTCCTGAGTCCACCCGAGGCCACCTGTTCTGGGAATTGACTCAGATCACATACAGAGATGATAGACACTGGGGTTCTTCCACAGGGTAGTGAGTGGAATCTGCTGTAGTTGCCCCCCTGGAGGTGACCAGGGAGTTTCAGGACCAGGACCAGCTGCAAGGAGGCCCCAAAGTCTTCTGGATTCATCCAGACCAGGCCAGAGCTGGTGATTTAATAAGGCTTCATCTTCATTCTAATGAACTTGCACTACTCAGATGCTGGAAACAGGACTAAGTCAGGACTCCCAAGGCTTGAGGGCTGTTGGAGCAAAAGAGCTCCAGCTTTAGATTTGGGCAGTCTTAAGTTTCCATCTCTGCCCTCCCACTAGCTGTGGGACCCCCAGCAGATTGCTGACCCTCTCTGAGCCTCAGTCTCCCCATAGGTTAAATGGGTATCATATGCGGGCCTGCCCTGCTCTGTTGGAGTGCAGTTGAGATGAATCACTGTACCCTAGTGAAGAGCTTAGCACAGCGCCTGGTGCATTCCAAGTGTCTAATGGGTGCTCTTGAAGGAGATATTTTTTGGAAGTTGTTAGGCTAATTGGCTCTTCATGTAACATCATGTAAATCATCTGAATGTTCTCATGGCCTGAGCCCACTTAATCATGGCTAAAGCTGAAAATATACATTTCCTTTCCTTTTCTTCCAAGCTCCTTTAACATGAAAGGCCCGCATAAACTCTCTGACCTTTTCTAACAGGGAGACCCTTGAAATGTGGCATTTCCAGAAAACGGCTCAAAGGAGCCCCAGATGGATTTAGTAAATTACAGCAAGGAGAGGTTGTGAGCGGCGTCTCTTCCTGCTCACCAGCCCGCCTGG